TAACTTAAAATTATAAAGGCACAAAGTATAATGCCTATTGTGTTATATTCATCAATGGGGATCATCCTAAACCATCGTAATCTAATTGTAGTCGCCTTATTGGCTCGTCTAAGGAGGCCCTGTACTGACGAGTGCCTCTCGCGTTCACCTGGAAGACCGATTACCTCATCTCTGTAGGCTTGGATTGAACAGCTCTCGAGATGAGGCAGCCCGCTATAAGGGGCTTGATCGTAGGTGATGGTTAGGTCTGTAATTGGTCGAACGGGTAATGCCTATCACGGCTGCTACAGTGCTTGCATTAAGGATTGCAAACTCAATACAGAATTCAATGGCCGAAGGGAAAAGAGTCGTTCAAATTTATCAGAGACTGCAACCTAAAAGATAAAAAAGCCTTTTATTCTTAGACATCGGCCAATCAATTGGAGGGGCCATATTGCAGTTATGAGTAAGTGGCACTCAAATATCGTTACTCCTCCTTTCATAGTCGACATGCTAACACCCCAGTTATCTTGATGGCCTATGATTTGTATTATTCTGTTATTTCTATGGTCCTTCTTATAACCACCGACGATAGAATAGAATGGAAAGCATTGTAGATCATTTTCAGAGCTAAATTCCGAGCCCTGGTAAGCACTTAATACGGGAACTCTGGATAATTAATGCTCAGAGTGAAGGTAATTGTCCAAAAGGTTTCCAAAAGATTTCGATGCTCTCTATATTGGTCTCGTGACAGGTACCGCTCTTTTGAACTGAAAGCCGGAAGTTCTTGTTCCCTTTGAATGAGACCAGATAAATCTTTTCTGTAACGGTGCAAAATCACTGCGTGCAGCCGGCCCTATTATCCTGGTCTCATCTATTGGTGATGGTTTAGGGTCCTTATGTTCGAGATATCTGTAGCCTATCCACACGGCTGTGTATGCAAATGCTTTCATTAAGGAGGCTAAAACGGCAGATACCACCAATAATTTGAATGTGCTGTGAACGAATGTCTGGGTTTGACACAAACTACAGCAAACAATTTGCACGTAACGAGTCGTTGTGACTAGTTTTTATGCCAAAGTTGATATCATTCTTTTTATTCTTATAGGTTGTTATAGCCCACCATTTTGATGCCATGAACATAATTTCCTCTAAGGACATATGATAAGCATTGTAATCCCCATTTTTTTTGTGGGGGGTGCTTTTAATGTCGCAAGCCGGTGCTTCTGGCCGGCCCAAAAGCCTCAATGGGTAAAGACCCCACGAAATCATCCCGCCAGTTGGATCTTGGTGGGCAAATTGGGCTGGAACCCTTTTGAGGTCTAGAGAAGTCCCCTGACTCTAAGAGCCCTGTTTCCGGAATGAAAGCATCTTTGCAAGATTAACATTCATCGTAACAGCTTAACACGGGATTCCCTTATATAGGGCTTCAATCCCTCACGGTGATTGGTTTTACGGCCGTTTTCTCTGTATGGTCTTGAAATTATTCTTGATAATGAACTATCAGCTGGCACGAATTTTCATTTGCTTCATGTAAGCGATTGCAGGCAAACTCAAGTTGACTCAATGAATATGCGTGCAACAATATCCGGAAAATTGGCCTACTTGTTCCAGACCAGCCCTTTTGCGTT